AGGAAGGAAGGAAGGAAGGAAGGAAGGAAGGAAGGAAGGAAGGAAGGAAGAAAGGTGGAATGCTTCTGCCCAGCATTGAGATTGGGATGGGAAGCTGATTTTCTCCCTTTTCCATCTTTTTTAGAGTTCTACTTGAAATGTAACTGTTTTAATTTTATACTCAGCAAAGACAATGGTATTACTTTAATTTTGAGGAAAAAACTAGACTATACGGTGTTTGGTTTATTTATTTTTAAGGCTTCTGCCTTATCACTGAGAAAAAAATGCAGACAGATAATGGTCATACCCATCTGTAAAACATAAACAATTAACTGATAGAGTTTGTTCAAGAGATATGAGTTACAGTGTTTACAAGGGAAACTTAGGGAGATTGATAGACATATACCTGCCTGTGTCAGTTTGGCTTAAATCTTTGGTTTAAACAAACAGAAAAACATATCTAACAGTGATCTTCTATATTTAAAACCAAAAGTTCTAGAATAAAAGTAGAGGCTATAATTCTGATTTTAACCCAAACTGCTCAGAAGATTTGAAGTTCTTATATAACTAGAAATAATATTTCTTCAACTGCTTTTAAGCTCTCCAGGTAACTGTGGGTTTTCCGGCTTTCTAAAACTACAATATATTTCATAATCACATTAAATGCATCGAGGAGGGTGAATGAGATGGAGAATTTATTTAAATTTTCATTTCTAATGGTTTCTACTCTTCCTTTGCTTGCAGAATGTTTACACAGTTAGCTTTCCTAAACCTGGTTTTGTGGAGCTCTCCCCTGTGCCAATTGATGTAGGAACAGAAATCAACCTGTCCTTCAGCACCAAGAATGAGTCCGGCATCATTCTTTTAGGAAGTGGAGGGACACCAGCGCCACGCAGGAGAAAACGAAGGCAGACTGGACAGGTACCCTGACACCTAGTTCATGACGCATTTTCCCTCATGCTTATATAAAACAGTTAACTTGCTTTCCTTTATTTTTGCTGTCGTCTTAGCTAGCAAGGACTGAGCATTCCATTTTTCCATGCTGGCCTCCTATTTCTCAAATCATCTCCCCAGGACAATTGTCCTCTCTAGGATGTTCCTGTTGGTCAATTGCAGGTGCAAAGTCACACTCATATTTGCACCTATATTTCATACGGGTTTAACATATGCATATGTAAAGAGGACAGCTTAAAATATATTCACATTATTTTAATTTCTATTGTCTCCAAGTCCAACTCCTTATCAGATCTGTAGATATTCAGCTACAGTCCCTTAAATTTAAATAATTCCTCTAAGATCATTTTCCCAGTTGTACTAGCTGAAGTGACACAGTCTGTTGGGCCTGACCCATCCCATCCTCTCTGGACACAAAGAAGGGCAGAGAATGGACCCGGGAGAAAGCAAGTAGAGCACAACCAACACAGACATGGACAACTGCAGCCCAATAGCATTCAAGGATGTTAAGGCCTAAAGAATATCAACTAGCCAGATACAGTGGCCCATGTCTGTAATCCCAGCCTTTTGGAGGCCAACGCAGGAGGATCACCTGAGCCCAGGAGTTTGAAACTAGACTGGGCCACAGTCTAGTTAATTAATATTTTTTAATTAACTAGGCATGGTGGCACATGACTGTGGTCCCAGTTATTGACGACTGCTATTCAACTATTCATGACACCACACTCCAGCCTGGATGACGGAGTGAGACCCTGTCTCAAAAAATTTTTTAAAAAAACAGTATCAATTTTGCAAGGACATAATCTTTAGTATTTATATCCCCATTTGATTCCATTAAAAGCAATCCTTCAACTGCCCAGATTTAAGCATCATATCTCTTATTGCCTTGGTATTCTTTAATATCTTCAATCACATTTTTTAAAATGTAAATTTTCATTTAATCTAGTTTTTCTCAGTGAAAAGGTTTATAGGAATTACTTAGTCTGCCATAATCAAAAGAACAGAATGCTTTACAAATATGTTGTTAAATATGCACATACCCTTGTAAACTAGGTCATGTTACTTGTGATTATATGTTTTAAAAATCGATTTTAGCATGTAACATGTAGTGATCAATAATATCATGTAACAAATCTTATTTATTTTTCTACAAAATAAAAAGCCCACACAAAATATTTGCAAATGCAACCCAAAGATGTATAACCGCAAGTAACTTGGATTATTTCAGGAATGCAGAAATGGTTTAATATTAGAAAAACTAAAAATCATATAATCTTTTCAGTAGTTAGTAAAAACATTTGGTAAAATTTAACAGTCACTCATGATTTAAAAAAAAAACACTTAAGTAAACTAAGAGGAGAAAACTTCGTTAGCCATCTATAAAAAAACTATAACAAGTATTCCTGATTAAAAAAATTATAAACATTTGCTATAAAATCAAGCCCAAGAAAAGGATGACTATTTTAACTGCACTGATCTTAGCTAGCATAGTAAGAAAAGAACAAGTAAATATAGCCCAAGAACAAGAATAAGACCAAATATATGATTTGAGAATTATTATAACAAAATAGACATAAAGCCCATATGGAGAAAGTGATAAGATTTCATTGAAAGATATCAAAGTATTTCTTAATGATTATAGTCAATAAATTGGTATAGTCAACATGTTAATGAAGATATTAAAGACTCAATATTAAAAATGTCACTTTTCCCCAAAGTGGTATATAGATTCAATTTTAATAAAAATATCATTTGGCTGGGCATGGTGGCTCATGCCTGTAATCCCAGCACTTTGGGAGGCCGAGGCAGTTGGATCACCTGAGGTCAGGAGTACGAGACCAGCCTGGCAAACATGGTGAAACCCCATCTCCACTAAAAATACAAAAATTAACTGGCCATGGTGGTATACACCTGTAATCCTAGCTACTCAGGAGACTGAGGCAGGAGAATCGCTGAAACCTGGGAGGCAGAGGCTGCAGGGAACTGAGATCATGCCACTGCACTCCAGCCTGGGCAACAGAGCAAGACTCCATCTCCAAATAAATAAATAAATAAATAAAATACCACTTTATCTTTCTGTGAATCATGACAACCTTATTCTAAAATTTATATCAAAGATGAAATTCCTAGAAGAATATTGTAGTGGGTTTTAATCCACCAGATATCAGCATATTAGAAGGTAGAGTTTTGTATTGTGGAACTATAGTGTCGATTTATGTATAACTGTGCAAATAGGAAATAATTGAGAACCCTGAAAATACACAAGCATAGATGGAAACAACATTTGACAATAAGTGCCATTGCATTTTATTAAAAAAAAAAAAACAAAAAAAAAAACAGTGAACTGTTCAGTGAATGATTATTTCAGGGCCATTGTTTATTCATATGGAAAAGATGAAACTATTTCTTTTTCATATCAAACCAAAAAAATAAATTCACAATAAATTAAAAGTCTTAAATATGGAAGGGCAAAAGCCTTTAAAATTCTTAGAAGAAAATATACAAGGATAACTTTTGACTTTAGGGAAACAAAGGAAGGCTTGGTTGAACAAAACAAGATTTTAAGTGGAACTTCGTTAAAATTAAACTCTTTGATCATCAAACAACAAAACACAAGCCTCAGTCTGGAAATGTACAGTACGTATAATCTACAAGGAATGTGGTCCTTGTCCCCAAAAGGGGAAAAGCTCACTGCAGTTTACAGTGGGATATCAAAACCATACTGGTTGATATAGTATTAGAAAGAAAACTATTGGAAAGGCATAAATCAAAGAGTGCTCTTGATCACTGCTGGTAGAAAAAGTAAATTTCTAAAGCCACTTTGGAAAACTATTTGGCCCTAACTTGTAAAATTGAACATGTGCATAATCTCTACAAGCCAGCAATTCCACTCCTGGGTATAGACCCAAATGTTTGCACATGTGCATAATAAGACATGCACAAGAATGTTTATAGAATATTCTTTATAATAGCAGAGAAACTAGAAACAACCCAAATGTTCATCAGCTGAAGAACAGAGAGGAAAACTGTGGCACTTTTGCATAATGAGATCAAGCAACAATAAAAAGAAATTCTAACTAAACATAACAACTTAATAAATAGAAAATAAATAAAAAATGAAAAATGTGCAATATATCATTTTTGTAGATTTCTCATACAAGTAGCACTAAAGCACATATTGTTTACAGACATATGAACTTCAAAAATATTTTTTAAAAGTAAGGTAATAATAAACATAAAATTGACATTTGTGGTTACCTCTAGATGGAGAAACAGGAAGATAGTATTAGAAAGAAATTCATAAGAGATGCAATGGTATTGCTTCTGAAATTTGGTGGTAGATTTATAGGTATTCATTTTATGGTACAGTGTTAACACAGCTTCATTGTTTACATATCACTTATATTGTGAAGAATATATCAAATAGTCAGAATAAAAATATTTTTGAAGAGTAGAGTGAGAAAACTGTTATTTTATTTCATTTCATCCTACACATAATAAGCACTAAATATAAAATACAAATGCCCGCTTAATTTTTTGCCTTTATATTGAAAAATAAACCTTTTTCTCACTGTTTAAAATGATAAGCTAGTTATAAGAAGAAGACCAGATCAAATATTCTAAAATAGATTTCCACTAAAGGACATTTAATTCCTTCATCATTGACAGATATTTAAACACTACCTACTGGCTCCAGATTTCTCCTCCTCAAGACAAGAGAAATGAATGTGAATCACCAGCTTTCAGGATAGTGCTTAAAACAAAACAGATTCCTATTAAAACAATTACAATAAGAAAACACTAAGTACTATAGTATGAAGTACGTTTAAATGACATTTTAATGTTTTAACATCTTAATACTCATATCTAATTTATAAAACATCATCGTAAATGGTATCTGAAGGAGGTAACAATGTTAAATAGTGTATGCCTGTTAGACATAGATTTAGATTCAGTGCTGGTTAAATTGACATGTTTTATATTCCAAAGCTAACAGTTTTGATACCCTTAGAGTTATTTGTGATTCTATTCGACTAAATGGGTTTGATATCTCAAACAATCCATGAGCTAAGGAATTTTTAATTGAGTGAGTAGTTTGTGATTTCCCTTTGACAGATGGTGAGCACTTATCCAGATCCTCAAAACCTTTTGTGGTGGACACATAACTACATACACGATTTAGTAAATTATTGGAACATGCTGATGCTTGACGGAAATTGTCTCTACCACCATAGATAACTCATGGAGAACTGAGCCATCACGGTGTGGCACGTGCCCCCTATTCCACAAGAAAGGGAGAGCACGTGGCATCGGCTCTGGGGACAAGGACTGCATTCAGGCTCCCTGGGGTTCATGATGGGATATCAAAACCATTCTGGTTGCTATAGTAACAGTAGCAAGAAGAAAGCAGGCATGTTTGTGGATGAAAAATTATCTTCCTTCTTTCCAAATGTGGGAGGCAGGTTACATGTTTGTGATAACAGTCTATTCCACCAGCTCAGAGAACAAATTGAAGTCTAAATACCCAAAATGCCACAAGGTTGAGAGTCAGGCCTGATTCTCAGAAGCTAGCTGTCCACTTGTGAATATAAGAGAGAGGGATTTTGTCGACATCCTTTGTCTCCTGATGTGTTTTGTAAGTGAGAGGACCAATACGAGCACAGCTGTTACTTTCAGCGTCGCAAATCTGCTTTGCAGAGAGCTGCTATGTTAATATATCCACTTTCCAGATCATCTCACAAGCAAAAATAAATGATTAGAAGGATATTTCTAGCTGTTTTCAAAACCATTTAAGAAAATAAAGTCTTAATTTGTCAGGTAAGATCTCAGAGCAGATGAACCTGTGGTTCTGCCAGGGAATTTCTAAAGCTAAGTCATAAATGAGGCTTCTGTTTAATCTTCAATAACCACTTGCCGTTGCAGGCCTATTATGCAATATTCCTCAACAAGGGCCGTCTGGAAGTGCACCTCTCCACAGGGGCACGAACAATGAGGAAAATTGTCATCAGACCAGAGCCGAATCTGTTTCATGATGGAAGAGAACATTCCGTTCATGTAGAGCGAACTAGAGGGTAACAACAGCATTAGAATATTTATTGTTGTAACTCAGGTGAACTGCCTTTGCTAGCATCAGTATCCATCAGTATCTGCCTGAGCCTCTGTGTGTGTGGACCTACTATGCATTGCAAAAGGACACAGTAGCTTAATTCCCTCTTCTTTACTCTTCATACTTCGGGAACCTTATTCGCCTGAGCCCTCAAGAGTTCTACCCTTAGCATTTTTATCCTGTGCCATTATCTCTACCTTTGGAAAAACCAAATGCATCTTCTGAAGCTGTAGATGAGACAAATCCCTCCTTCTGCCCCTATCAAACATGACCTTCTCAAATAAGGTATGCACACAGCAAAACGCACAAACAGCTCAACTGGAGCCAGCAGTCTTTGGTGGCTGCTATCTCATTCGGATTCCAAAGCAGTTATGGCAGCTGCTTAGCTGTCACAGACAGAGAGTGTGGCAGCAGCTATAGGACCTACTGAGCATATTAAGTGCACATCTTGCCCCGTCCCCCATCCCAAGGTTTCCAGGGGACCTGCAGACTGGCTTCCTGAGGGAACAGAATCAAGGGAGGGGAGGAAAATGACTGCAGCCCTGAGACTGGCCACCTTTCTAGAAATCTCCCAGAACGCTTGCCCCCAGCCAGCACTAGGGTCCAGGGAATTGGCTTTACTCATGCACAAACTGATGACTTTCTTTAGAATGCTGCAATACTTAATGCTTACTGTATTAGGAAAGTCATCTGTATTTTTCATCAAAATATTGTATGACAACTCAGAGAGATAATTAGTTTAGAAGGACAATTAGAGAAGAAGGAAACAGAAGCCCAGAGACTTCAGGGGCTGTAGACCTCCAAGCCAGCAAGCCATTTATCAGACTGAAGACATAGAAAGAACTGGAAATCCAATTTAATGAGGCCTCAAAACACAGAGGTTACTTTTAAATGCAACAAGTATGAATGTGTAGCAGTAGTTCAAGCTAGCAGATACTATCCTGTAGTGAAAGACCTACATTTACTAATTATCCTCTTGTGGAAAGCATTTAGGTAAATAATAAAGATTTCTTACCTTCTAAGTAAATAGCAAAGCTTTCCTTAGATTTTTATTATTATTTAGAGGATTAGGCTGTAGGCTGAATTGATACCAAGCATTCATGCAGAATGGCTACTGAGATGTTTAGAGATCATTATTAAGGCAAATGAGGGATCAGTATTTGGACAATCTAAAAACTTTTACTAATCTAGTAGCCAGATATTGTAGTCATGGTCTCTGAATAGAAATGAAAACCAAATGCTCTCATTTGAATCTTAGAATGCTTCAAAATACTGGTTTTACATGTCTTCTGGATTAGATATTAGGCCCTTTGACAAACTTTAATCCTTTTCACTGTGGAAAGGACTTTTTTGAAGATTTAAATTTTAGCCAGGCATGGTTGCTCATGCCTGTAATCCCAGCACTTTGGGAGGCCAAGCCAGGTGGATCACAAGTTCAGGAGTTCAAGAACAGCCTGGCCAACATGGTGAAAACCCATCTCTACGAAAAATACAAAAAATTAGCCAGACGTGGTGGCAAGGCCCTGTAATCACAGCTATTCTGGAGACTGAGGCAGGAGAATTGCTTTAACCCAGTGGGGTGGAGGTTGCTGTGAGCCAAGATCACACCACTGCACTCCAGCCTGGACGACAGGGCAAGACTCTGTCTCAGAAAAAAAAAAAAAAAAAAAAAAAAAACTTAAACTTTAAAGAATTTCAATAAGTATCTGCAGATTTGAGAAATTGGTTGACCAAAAATCACTCAAAATGTGTTATTTTGTTGAGAAAGAATTCTGAAATTCCCAAATACATTACCCTGTTATACCAAGGTGTCCTTTTAACACGTTTCTTCAAGAAGGGCATTTTATTATGCCAACTTCACAGCTGTTGACCATCAATCCAACCTTGATTTGATTAAGCTCAGTGTATAGTATATCACTGGAAACTGGTCATTCAGTTAATTGGCCATATAAACAAACAGTTTTGCCATTCATTGTTAATTACAGGATAATATATTAGACATATTAGTGTGTAGTCACTGAACTCTGTGCCAAAACAAGAATACATTTGCAGCCATAATGGTTCATTCGGCACTCTAATGTTAAAATGCAATCTACTCTATAAGCAAGTGCTGCATTTAACTGATTAACCAGAGATCATGCATGGCCATCAGAACTTCACCCAGAAAAATTTTTAATGCTTTATATGCCTATTCTATGGCATGATTTGTGTCACATACTAAACAAAGGTGATTTGTTTTAATTGTTCTAAAAGTATGTGAGATCTGTGATAACATCTTTTCATCACAGATGAGAAAATATTAACTAACTTGCCCAAAATCATATACTATGAGTAACAGGGCCAGGTATTACATGAGCTATATTTGACTTAAATACCTCTGTCTATGCACAGCCAATAGATTATTCTTATGTTTTTGTGTGACCGTAATGGTTTATATTACTTAATATTGATATGATACATCATTATTAATTTGGAGATAACTGGTTTATCCCAACACTTTTCACATTATGCATGTCAATCATCATTTCTTTTCCTAAAACACTGGACAAAATGATAGCTTTAATACTGCCTCATAAAATAATTGGATTTTTACCAAATTGGGGGCCAAACTTCTCAAGAAGCTGCTTCTTCCTCACCCTCTGCCTCTCTTTACTTCTCCTCCCTCATTCTCTCTGCTTTCCACCCCATCATCTGGGGAAATCTACCTTCAGTCACTTTGGCGTCTAATTTCTTGGCATTCCAGTGATCTCTGCCTTCTATATCTGCCTTGTCCTCTGATCCTTCTCCTGGAGTCCACCTTAGTGACCAGCAGTTCTAACTGGACAAAAACATCAAACTCTAAGACAGCCTAAAACAGTTACGTAGAAAAATAGGACAAGCAACTGAGCTGAGTTTTTCTTCTGGGAAAGCTTTCTTCACACAGGTACAGAAATAGGCTAAAGATCATGAAGTAGGGTGAGATATTTTAGGAGTCAATTGGGGTTTCCTGAATAACATAATGATCGGAACACTGCAATCTAAATATTTTCTTTCTTAACATCCAAAATATGTTCAAACAGAAAAAAAGATTAGATTTTATTTATCAGGTACGTTATAAATGTTAGGGCACTTATTTCTCTTAATATCTTCTTCCACATATGCAATCCAATTGATATGGCTTGAAAAAAACCTTAAACCCATATTCCAAACAAATAAGAAATAGGGTGTAAGTAATCAAGTAATTATGAAACTCTAAGAACCAGCCATTGACACTGTAAAAAAGTAAATAAATAAAGCTGACCTATTACAACACTAAAGTAATACAAAGTTTAATGTACTGTTTGCACATAGTAGGCCTCAGTAAAAAGCTCTTAAGTAAATACTTTTTTAAAAAAAAATGGAAAACACACCAGAATCATAATGGACATGTTGGTAATGCCCTCCTCAATAAAAATTAAATAAATGATCTAGATTTGATGTTCCTAAAAGTTAAAGATGAGCAGGATTTAGCTATCGTTTTCTAGCAATGCCTTTATTAAGTAATACCACCTCAGGGCGATCCCTTAATTAATGTTTTCCACTGTTTGAAGTAGGTATTTTTATCTCCATCTTATAAATGAATGAAATGAACCTGAGCATGATTAAATAGCTTGCCCAAGGTCACACAGCTAGTAAGCTTTCACACTGGTACTTAATTCCAGTACGTTCCTCCTGAAACCCCATGCTCATTCTCCATCACCACCCTGTGAACTAGTTTTTAAAAAGTTGGGGGGCCTCTATCATGGTCCTTGTGGCAGAACCAGACAACAGAGAGAGGCTACACCAGAAAGAGGAAGGCCTCTAGCTTTTACAAATTGTAATCAAGAGCAGAGACTTACTCTCCTTGGACAATCTTTAATAGAGGCTTATACCCCCCATTAAAACCCTTAGGAGCACTGTGCTATCATGTTGCTATGAGGCTACTTTCAGCCAAAGGGGGAAAAAGTGTAAGAGAGGGGCTTCTCAGTGAGTCACATATACCCGGAAGTGAGTGGTTTTCTGAAATTCTCATCTCATAAGACTACTGACACTCAGCAAGGAAGCTGAGCCTCCTGGGTTTTGCCAACACATTTTTCCATCCTTTGGTAAAGAAAGAAACCTCAACGTATGTCATTTCCCCCTATTTTCTCTTTGAAACTAAATGTTACCGGTCCTTTTCACCCCCTTAGCAGTGACATTTTGAGCCACAGCAAAATCCATTTTTTGTCTCTTTCTTTCATTTTTGAATTCTCTTACTTGTAAAGTGCCAATTCAAAGCATCTTTACCCAGGCTTATTGTTTTTTTCCAGTTCTATATGTGGTTTTTCTTCTTTATAAAACCAAGCAAGAGGGTGCTTTAGGACGGAGGTTTCCCCCCAAGTACTTTGGTTTTCTCTCCAGATATGAAGTAAGTTTTCAGTAATTCATCCATGATCCTCGGGCTCGTGACTAATGCTTATGACTAATAGCACCACGATGACTCTCCAGACCGAAACTCAAAACTTGCTTCTGGAACAAAAGAGAAAATGCCTTTGGTCATTTTCATCAGAACTCTTTGTCTCCTTCTGATTCTTGGCCCAGGGATCCAAGGATTGCTATAAATAAGTAGCATGAGCTTCTCAATTAGCAGCGTGTGAATTATCTCTCGTAAGCAAATTAGGGAAATTAATGAAACAGCCACTAAGGAAAATCATTGCAAGGAACAATTAGCAGAGTGTTCTTGCCTGCCTCTTCTATTCAAAAGCCATCAGCTACATTCTTTATAAAATGTGTTTTAAGTGCTTGTTGTTGATTCCAACAATCTAAGCTCTCAGGAGAACCATTTGTTCCCTAGCAAGAAGATAATAGCCAGCACAACCCAAGAAAGACCCAATGCTGTGCTAAACCTGCCGATCCTTCTACAATTAGACGTTACTGCACGGTACAGAAGCCTCGGTTCTCACAGGCTCACATGTTGGGCTGCACAGTGCTGCTGTCATCTCCACCAGAGGCTCATATTGCAGTACGCCATGACCTGGTTTCAGTAAACTTTCAGGAAGAGTGAACGAGGGAGTCATGGGACAAGATCCTGGGAAATAACAGCATTAGCTTAGTGTGGAATTCCCGACCATCCAATTTTGGCTCCCTTAAAAGCTATGGGAGAGAGGGGTGAAGGGTGGCAGGAAAGAGTTTGATTTCCAACTGTGTTGAATGAGATGTGATTTATACTTGTTGATTTTTAATATTTTACCAGCATCTTTACCGTTCAAGTCGATGAAAACAAAAGATACATGCAAAACCTGACGGTTGAACAGCCTATCGAAGTCAAAAAGCTTTTTGTTGGGGGTGCTCCGCCTGAATTTCAGCCTTCCCCACTCAGAAATATTCCTCCTTTTGAAGGCTGTGTGTGGAATCTTGTTATTAACTCGGTGTAAGTGGACCTCCTTTTTACTACTACTAATCATCTATTTTTATTTTTATTATTTTTGGCATCACACTGTCTACAGCTATGCAGGGAAGGAGGGAACAATGAGGATCTTCAGCTGAGATTGAGAAAAGCATACTGATGGGCTTAAAAAGGACTGCGGGGATTGGGCTTAATTGTAAGGAAGCAAAAAAAAATGAAAACGAAAAAATCTTATTTTATTATGTTCTATCAGCCCCATGGACTTTGCACAGCCTGTATCCTTCAAAAATGCTGACATTGGTCGCTGTGCCCATCAGAAACCCCGTGAAGATGAAGATGGAGCAGCTCCAGCTGAAATCGTTATCCAGCCTGAGCCAGTGCCCACTCCAGCCTTTCCTACACCCACCCCAGTTCTGACACATGTAAGTGTTTATATTATCCCCATTGCTTTCTAATTTTTATTCAGCATTCTGAGTCATTTCAGGAGGAAGATTATTCAGGAAATCTAGTATACTCGCTATTCGAATTGAAGAAAATATGCCCTATCTATCAAAACCTATTCTTACATCTTCATTGGATGACTGACCTATATTTCTTCCTTTAATTTTGTTTACAAAATAGTACATTTTCAGTTGAAATGTTGGAAAACACAGAAACATGCAGAATCAAGGACAAAAGCCACCTATAATACCACAGAGGCGACCATGTTGATTTTCAGTCCCTTTCATCGGCATAATAGATGTCCTACCCCATATACAATTTGGTGCCCTGTTTTTAGAAACTAGTAATACACCTAAGCTGTTTCTAAACATCATATAAATGTATGTCTAATATGAGTTTACGTTAAGTGTATATACACACAAGAGACACACCACTATTTTATAGTATTGGAGGTCATTTAGCCTTGATTAGAGCATGGGCTCAAGTCAGACTGCTGGTGTTCAAATCCCAGCACTGTAACTGACCATCTGTGTGCATTTGGGAAAGCTTCCTAGCCAATCTGTTTCTCAGTTTCCCATCCAAGAACTAACAAGGCCTAACCCTGCTTAGCTTCCAGGATTAGAAAAGATCAGATGCTTTCAGGGTGGGTATGGCCGTAGACTATTTCTATTTCCTCATCTGTCAAATGACGATATTAACAGCACAGACATCAAATACTTATTATCAGAGTTTTAAAAAATAATGTTTGTTAAATGACTCACATATACTGAACATTTAATAAATAGCATATCTACTATATGGTAATGATAATAGTTAGCACTTTCAAGGGCTTATTATGTACCAGCCCAGGACTAAACAATTTTCATGCAATATTATATGTAATTCTGATAGTAGCTCTGTAAAATGTAAATTGTCATTTTATTTTTAGTTGAGTTAATAAGAATTAGCTATCTTAAGTAACCAACCCACTCACACCATAATAAAAGGCAGAGCAAGAATTTTACCCTAGCAGGTCTGACTCGAAAGTCTAGCTCCTTATCTCTGGAATACTCAGCCTTTCCAATTTATTCCACTTTTGGTTAACAGCTGAACGCGTTAACCGATTGCGCCACAGAGACAGGTCAATTTATTCTACTTTTAATAGATCATGGTGGGCTATTGAGAGTGTTTCCAGTTTTTCACTATCAGAAACTATACTCTGATGAGTGCCTCTGTGCATCAAACTTTTTTCATTATTTCCAGTTATTCTTAAAATAGATAAGTAGTTAGGGAACTCTAAGGCCAAAAGATGAATATGATGTATAAGGTTTTCAATACACATACGTGAATTGCTTCTTCCACAGGCCATGCCAATTTACATTCTTCCCACCAATACAACAAAGACGGCTCACTCTCACTACCCTCTTTACAGCTCGTGTGTTGTGGTTAATCCATGCCAGTAATGGGTAGAACATGTTGTCTTGAGTGCAGATCTTGAAAACTTTTGAATATCTCATTCTCTTCCTTAGTGCCCAAGATGGAATTAGGTGAGCAATGTGCTCCTCGCACTAGAAATATTATTAAATGAGAGGCCAAATAACCATCATTCAAGATAACTGGTTATTTACTCCAAGCATCCTTTCATCCTTTGTAAAATATGGATATTTCACCTCCCTTGCCTACCACATACTGTATTATGAAAAATCAAATGGGATAAATTATGTGGAAGTTCTTTGAAAACTGGAAAAAGCAACCCCACATAGACACTCTGAGAAATCCCTGCATTTAGTGAATAACTAGTAGGTGTCCAGTACTCTGCCAGGCATTTCATATCTGTTATTTCATTTGATCCCCACACTATTAATTGTTTTATTTACATTTATTTATATTACTGGAAGTACTATATTTCATACACACAAAAAAATACCTAAGATCACACAGCTAGCACGTGGAAAGCCATCAGTCAGGTGGGGATTAGTTCCGGAAGTTGATTTCAACCCAAGGCATTCCTGAGATCTGTCACATGGATTTCAGAATCTTTCCCCAGCTCTTTCATAATTCAGCCACAGGCTAGATCTTTGCTTAGCAAAGTAAGGTTAATGATCCTCCTCTTCTCCCTCGTGATTTTATACCTTAAAGTCATGTGCTTCCCAGACTCAAGAATGTGTTTTCAACTGAAGAATTAAGAAATATCATGAGTTGAATAAACTTTTTTGATTTTGGATCCTAATGTCCTCTTATAAAAATGTTTCTAGAAGAAAACAGAGCCTAATTTCTAACTGACTAACTTAAAATTATAAACAAGAATTGGCAAGAGCCATAAAGATCATCTGGTCCACTCACCATCTTAATGCATGAATTCCTTGTGTATGATACTTACAGCCTTTGCTTGAACACTTCGGTGACAGTATTTTCCAGTGTTATGATGAGGCAGGCTCTAGTTGTTAGAAAGTCATCAGTTATATTAAAGTAAAACTGAGTCCCTAAAACTTCTATGTAATGGTTATGTTTCTGTAGGCAAACATACTACATTTATGTGTTCTCTGTCTAACGTCCCTTCAAGAATTTGAAAATAGCGGAGTCTTCTTTTTCCCTAGCCTAAACATTTCACTAGCTCAGGTATTCTTTGCATTACCTTATTTCTGATTGTTATCCCCTCCGGGATCAGTATTCTCAAATGTGAAACATTCTTTTCAAAGTATGGCACCTGCTACTCAAAAGAAAGTCCCCAGTTCAGGGGACAGTGGGACCCCTCACTCCCTTAATTGTTATCATATTTCTATTAATGCACCTAAAAATGTTTTAATGTTTTTAATAGATAGGTCAGGCTACTGATTCCTAATTGGGTACCTTATTCAATCAAGCAGAACCTCGTTGGCCTTCTCATCTACCACTAAACATCTCCAGTCAGGTCTCCCCGCCTGTGCTGGTTTGGTTTTTTAGGGATAGCCCTGCTGACCTCCACTGATCACCTTACTTTTCTAAGTACTTACACAAACTTTGTTTTATAGGGCCTCTCCAGCACATTTTTCTGTGGTAGTTAGAGATCACACTTTTTCCCTTTTTTCCCAAAATAAAAATACTTGCCCATCTGGGAATGGAGATTTTTACTCATTTAAGGTTTTTTTTTTTTTTATAACCTTCTGTTCTAATTTCGATTTCCATTTCCTCTCAGCAGTGTATGTTTTAACTTTCCCGAAAACAGAGCATTCCACTTAGTAGACGAGACAGAAGCAAAAAGTTGAGTAGCATACCAAATTGGTTGGTTTAGAGAGAATCACAGAACATTAGAGCTAGAAGACACCATAAAGATTCCCATTCTTAACTTGGACATGAGGAAAGAAAGCCCTGAAACTTACAGTATGGCCCAGGGTTACACACATGAGTGATGGTTGGCACTAAAACCCAGATATCTAAATTCCAACTGCTATTTCCCCTTCTTTTTTTTTTTTTTTTTAGATGGAGTTTCACTCTTGTTGTGCAGGCTGGAGTGCAATGGCGCTATCCTGGCTCACTGCAACCTCCACCTCCTGAGTTCAAGTGATTCCCCTGCTTCAGCCTCCTGAGTAGCTGGGATTACAGGCATGCGCCACCATGCCCAGCTAATTTTGTATTTTTAGTAGAGATGAGGTTTCTCCATGTTGGTCAGGCTGGTCTCAAACTCCCGACCTCAAGTGATCCGCCTTCCTCGGCCTCCCAAAGTACTGGGATTACAGGTGTGAGCCACTGCGCCTGGCCTATTTCCCCTTCTTTTGCACATCATAATTATTTATGATTGTGTGGTCAGAACTAAATTTTTTAGAACTTTCTATCTTTATTAATTGTATTATATTTTAGAGTTCAGATCATATCTTCTGTTTTAATTTGATTCTTATGTTCCTTGTGTGTGTGTAGGGGAAAGGGGTGTCTTCTTTTTAAAAGTTACTAAAAGTGGCCGGGCGTGGTGGCTCAAGCCTGTAATCCCAGCACTTTGGGAGGCCGAGGCGGGTGGATCACGAGGTCAAGAGATCGAGACCATCCTGGTCAACATGGTGAAACCCCGTCTCTACTAAAAATACAAAAAATTAGCTGGGCATGGTGGCGCGTGCCTGTAATCCCAGCTACTCGGGAGGCTGAGGCAGGAGAATTGCCTGAACCCAGGAGGCGGAGGTTGCGGTGAGCCGAGATCGCGCCATTGCACTCCAGCCTGGGTAACAAGAGTGAAACTCCGTCCCAAAAAAAAAAAAAAAAGTTACCAAAAGTTAAAAGTTTTACAATTTATTTTATAACAAATACTAAGAACCTACTAAGTGCAAAGATGAATACGGAAAAAGAGAGAGAGCTGCTTTTCCTGCCATAGCCTTCCCATTATTATTCAATGAATTCCGGCAGGTTACTTGTCTTTTCTAAATGTAAAATAATTAAGGGACAAATAAGGATAATAATATCTTCCTTCTGGGATTACTATCATGAGGGAGTAAGTTATGCATTGTATGCAAAGCACCCAGCACCATGCCTGACTCAAAGTAATATTCCATCCCTCTTCTATGTTAGTTTAACTTTAACTTCTGTGTTTCTTTAACTTAATTATTCTAGTCAGTTTAAGTTTTAACATTTTTAGGGTGGGGAGCAGGTGCTGGGAAAAAACGGGTGTGGTGAGTATTCAATTTTTAAGCAATTACAAACTCTTATTGGTTTGATATGTAACGATACATACATTTTAGTGATATGGTTATTAAATCTTAAGTCCTCCATAATTTTCAATTCTCACCATTTTCTTTTTTTGTATCAGAATTTAGATTTTTTTTTTTTAATTTTGTTTGCTCCATCACCCAGGGTGGAGTGCAGTGGCACAATCATGGCTCACTGTAGCCTCAACCTCCCAGGCTCAAGTGATCCTCATGCCTCAGCCTCCTGAGTAACTGGGACTACAGGTGCATGCCACCGTGCCTGGCTAATCTTTGTGTTTTTAATAGAGATGGGATTTTTGCCATGTTGGCCAGGCTGGTCTCAAACTCTTGGA